CTGCCTGCTCTTTGCTAATTCGCATGAATGCTTTCAGAGCCTTCCTTGGTAAGGGCTTCAGGGAGCGCAGAAGACGTGGCCCGGGCCCCTCCTCGTCGCCAAGTAACTATTGAAGGGAACTCGCTTAGAAAACCATCCCAAGAACCCACAGATGTTTGCAGGGAATTTACTTGGCCACTTTATCGGTTCCTTTATTTTACAAAGAAACTTTATAATCTGGATAGCAATGTTAACAAGTAAGCTAGACTATATCTTGTCTCTCAGAAGGTTAACATGGTACTGTTGTAGCAGACCCCATATTTGTGGTGGTATCTGTCGGCGGTTTCTTTCTTCATTGGATGTGACTTCTGTGACTACCTGTATTTATGCCCCGCGTGTGCACACATCCCTTCACCGTGTGGTCCATCCTAGTTCTTTTTTTCCTCTGCTGATGAACAAGAGGAGCACTGTCAGGACCTCTGTGCCCACCTTGCTGCTTCAGCACTGGCTGTCACGGTCCTAGCTCATCATTTTCGAGGTCCTGAGACTGTGCTGATGCAGATTGTTACTGTGGCCAGGCACTGTGGGAAGCGCCCGCCCCGTGATGTACTGTTGCAGTCGGAAGAAGGGGCAGCACACAGAGCCTAAGCAACTTGGCCAAAGTCATGTTCGCCCATGACCTGGGACAGGTTGGCTGACTGCCCTGAGCCTGAGTGTCCTCATCTATAAAATGGGGGTCATTTCTGCCCCAGCAGTTTCATCAGATGGTGTCTAGGGTGCTTGGTGGGGGCTGCATCACAGAGGAAGCTTGCTTTACTGCGCTTGTTTTTTTTTTTTTTTTTTTTTTTTCTCCCCTTGGCTGTAAACTAGTCTGGTTGACTTCTGCATTTGCCACTGGGACTGTCCAGAAGGCTGCCTGCTAGGATGCTAGAGCAGAGGCCCTGGGGGTGCTGAGGCTCATGAGGTCCACTCACCATGCACTGCTCAGCCGTGCCTGCCTACTGTGCTGAGCCAGCTTGCTTCACAGCCCTCCTTGCCGGTTGATCTCCCTGGGCGTCCTCCTCTGCTGGCAGGTGGGCAGAGCTGGCAGGTAGTCGGAAGAGACTGTGGGTGTTCCCAGCAGGGGGAGAGATGAATCTGCAGTGCTGGCCTGACACTCCAGTGCAGGAGTGTCAGGGAAGTTCCCACGTCAGCCCTTTCCTTCCCACCCGCAGAGGCACTGAAGCTTGAGTCCGTGGAGCTGGAGAGGAATGTGTGGATCTGAGAGCTACAGCGGACAGAACTCAGTGTGAAGGTTGAAATGTGGACGAGGGAGAAGGGCGCATCTAGGTGTCTCCAGGGACTACGACTTGAGCAGAGTGAAGGGGCTGTGCAAAAGGCCAGAGGGCAAGGAGAGAACCAGCTTTGCTTCAGGAAATTCATGCGTGGTTTTAGGGGCTGATTGGATGTTGCTTTTGAGATGCAGGACTACAGGAGATGTCAAGAAGGTAATTGGATGCATGAGTCCTGGCAAGAGAGAGCTATTTTCATGTGGGCTGTTATTTTCATGGAGGGTCATTTGCATATAGGGGTCATTTACATGGAGGGGCTATCTGCATGGAGGGTTATTTGCAAATAGGGGTCATTTGCATAGAGGGAACATCTGCATGGAGGGTAATTTGCATAGAGGGGTCATTTGCATGGAGGGGTCATCTGTATGGAGGGACATTCGCTTGTAGATTCTTAAGTACAGTGATACCTTGGAACTCAATTCGTTCCACATCTGTATTTGAACACCAACAAGTTCAAGGGCTGAGCATATTTTTCCATTAAGAAATAATGGAAAACCAAATAATTAATTCTGAGGCCCAAAATGTTGCACTTATGAATTCATTTTTCCAGGACTTCAACAAATTTCACAATGACTTCTCTTTTTAACTCTATCATGGTTCTCACAGTTTTCCTCATGGCTTTACTGCTGGTATCACTAGTTTTCTTTGGAGGCATGGCTATGATACTTTATGCAGATAAAGCCCCCCTAAAACACAGTGACGAATGTTTTGATGTACTCACTTAAGCACTACACACTGGCTAGGTGGAAGCAACACTTAGACTGATGTGTCATGTCCATGGTGACAGGACCAGGACCCAATCAGAACAGGACCCAAGACTCACACTAGGTCCATACAAGTTTTCCAAGTCAGAGTTTTGGCAGACTACAGAGCAAAGTTAGGAACACCAAGCAACTTCTTTTTTGAACTTTGCTATTGGAGTAGTGGAAAGCTCGAACTTGAAGCCGTCCGACAGCAAAGGCACACTGTAGGACGCCAGTGGGGAGCCGTCTGCCTTACTACCTTCTGAGGGTGGATGAGCTCTCCTGGGGGAAGTAGTGGAGGGTGAGGAGGCCAAGTCTTAGTCTTGAGGATCACCAACAAGTTAGGAAAGAGGCTGTGTGTACAATCGGGTCTAAGAAAGTGAGGTCAGGAATTGGAGGGGACATGGGGCGGAAGGGACACAGTGCAGGAATCCATTGGGGAGTGAGGCTTTCAAAGGCAGAAGCCACCTGTTGAGACACTGCTACCTGGTGGCCCAGCAGGACAGGGACCATTTATCTGCCATTTAATTATGGGATAGTCTTTAATGAAGCGAGCTTGGGTGGGGGTGGGGTGCTGGGAGTACAGACGGAACACATTAGGCATTATTCCTTGGGGTCCTGGGTGGAGGGTGGAGGGTGGCATGGGTGCTAGAGTCAGACCAGAAGTTGACTTCTGTCACTGAGACAAAATACAACTTAGAGTAGAAAAGGTTTAATTTAGTTCCAGTTTCAGGAGATTCTGTATATGGGCAGGTGGCCCCAAGGAATGTTGTGGGGGGAAGGCCTGGCCAAGCAAAGCTGCCTAGTCCATGACAGCCAGAGAGCAGAGGAGGAGAACAGGCCTGGAGAGGGATGGAATAGACCTGTGTGTAGCAGCCACTACCACCTTTGAGACCCATTCAGATTCCCAGAAGTGCGCATTGGTAGCCTACTGGTGGTTTCACATCTAGTGCAGTTGGTGCATAGGATTAAGGGTCATGACCTACCTCTTACCAGCTTCTCATCCAACCATATCTTCTTCAACCTCACTCAATCTCCAAGCAAGGTGGACAGCATGACTCCTAACCGTACTGCTAGCGTACCACTAGGAATAACAAAATTTCGGCAATTTTGGCACTTTTCAAAGATCTACCTTGAAGTTTCTTCTGAGACTCAAGGCAGACTTTTAGCTGTGAATCTTTGTTAAAAAAAAATTTAATTCTAAGATACAATGCGTACGGTAAAACATTCCCCATTCTAAAAGGAGTAATGGGAGATGGAAAAGAATCAGACCAAAGCAATATCCAAGCTCAGCAGTGTAAATATTGAACCCCGGAGCTCCATCATCCCTTCTGCCTAGTGGGGAGTGATGTTTCTGCCACACCCCACTAGTTCTTCCAACTGCTGGTAAGAGTCGCAGTCCATCTTTTTCAATGGAAATTTGTAGGAAGGGTCTTGAGATTGCCAGTGCGAGGAGCCTCCTTCCTCGACTGCATTGACATCCTGCTGGTGGGTTACAATCAACCTTTTTTGTTTCAGTTGCTGGGAACCAAACCCAGGGTCTTCACACAGAGCTTTATGCCTAGCAGTTTCTATTCAGAGACAAGGCCTCACTAAGTTGCCAGGGCGGGTCTCAAATTTGTCGTCTTCCTGCCTTGGCCCCCAGGGTGCTGGGATTACAGGTGTTAGCCCGATCACCGTTGATCATTTTCGATGGAGATCTGTGGGAAGGGTCTTTGGTGCACCAGTGGGGGGAGTCTCTTTATGAGGTGGCATTTCTGTCCTGCTGTCCTTGGACCAGTGGAAGCCTGCGGGCTTCCAGCACCTTAAGTGGAAGGGAGCTGGTCATATTTCTGCTCTTTTTTCCTGGCTAGACTGGCTCTGCTCTGCTTTTAGAAAGATCTGGGGGTGGCACATCCGAAGTACAGACTTCCAGACCCCGCCCAGAGCTGTGGATCCTCCTGGCGTTGGGTGGGCTGAGAACCACGCAGTTCCAGGCCCCGCTGGGTATTTCTAACTCCGTGGATGAACATTCTTCACTTCCGTAGTTTGAAATCTGCTGAGATGGCAACATTTACACCATGGATATTGGCAAACACAGCAGATCAAGCCCCAGAGACTGGTTATTGAACATTTACCAGTCTACCATGGGTGAGAACTTCTGTATTTTTAAAACATTTAAAAAAAATCTTTTTATTTATTTGGTGAAGAATCTTGCTGTGCAGCTCAGGCTCATAGTAGTGATCTTCCAGTTTCAGCTTCCCCAACGCTGGGATTACAGATATGGGCCACCATGCCTGGTTTTGGTGGCCAGCTTGGTGAGGGTCTGGCAGGGCATGTGGTACTGGGAATTGAACCTGGGTCCTTGTACTTTCCAGGCAGGTGCTTAGATTGCTGAGCTATCTCCCTGGTCCAGCATCTGTATTTTTTAAATGTATCCACAGTAATTCTTGGGTGCAGCTAGGACTGAGAACCACTGGCCCAAGGTGTCCCACGATGGGCACAGCAATGTCCCTGTCTATCGACAGTAGTTGGTATCCAGCCCTAACAAGTGATCAAGTGTTCATATGAATTCGGTCACTCATCCCTCACAATACCACAAAGGAGCAGTTATATCCCCACTTTTCAGATGGTGAAACTGAGGTTCAGATGGGCTGCCGCTGCCTCATCCAGGGCCACAGTTCTAGTCAGGGGCTAAGGCTGGACTCCAGCTAAGGATAGAGATGTGGGGACCCGGGTCTGCCCTGAGACTCATCAGTGCCCTCTTGCCCCAGTAGGCTGGGTGCAGAGTCGTGCTCTCGTCCAGGATGACCATGCGTCCCCACCTGGGACCCTCCACGCTGTGTGTTCTGTGGGGTGGGCACTGACCATGAGGGTGGCAGCAGGCAGGTCTCCACCCTGCTGAGCAAGGTGATTGGATGCAAGACTAACGGGCTTTTGCACGGGCCTGTGCTTTCTCCTCTTTTAGTGGAACATGACAAAGAGTTCTTCCACCCACGCTACCACCATCGGGAGTTCCGGTTCGATTTATCCAAGATCCCAGAAGGAGAAGCTGTGACTGCAGCTGAATTCCGGATCTATAAGGACTACATCCGGGAACGCTTTGATAATGAGACCTTCCGGATCAGCGTCTACCAGGTGCTTCAGGAGCACTTGGGCAGGTAGGTGTTCTGTTGGTGCTGGGTGGGTGCTGAGTGTCCTCCAGCTCCCAGGGAGGCAGGGGATGGTGGCCCCAGAATGGAGTCAGACAGGACAGGGCCATCAGGGCAGCTTCTCCCACGGAATGCCAACCACCTACGAGCTCAGGACAGGTCTTTTTAAGAGAAAGTGTATGACGTATGTCACTGTTTTGTAAAACTGTGACTGCCCATGATGAATCAAGGCAGGAATTGCAGGAGGGCAGGAAACCTAGGAATCTGTGGTCCTGTTTGGGTGTTAGTGGCGGGTGTCCATCTGGACGTGTGCTCAGAGGCATGGAAGAGAAGGAAGAGGATGAGTGTGTTTGGTGATCTCTCTGTCACCTCTTCATCACTCTTCAGAGTGTCAGGCAACCAGTGTAAGTGGCCAAGAGTAATGAAATGTTAGATGCAGTTGTGGGGAGAACCTAACACGAACAGCCAGAACTCCCAGACTTCTAGGAATCACTAGGTTGGGGAGCAGAAGCTTGCACCAAAGGGCTTTTACTTCTGGACATCTTTTTAACTTCAAGATCTTAATGAGAGGCAAGAAGTCTAAGGCAAAGGACAGGCGCATCTGTCACAGTCCAGGGGTGCAGACCCCAAGTAATGTTACTCCATGACTAGGCTTTGGAATTCTTCAGGCTGTGGACCTTTCCTTTCCCCCTGCCTGCTTGGTGTGACAGTGGTTATGGTACAGGAATCTCCTCCTGATGGTCTGTCCCCACTCTTCAGCCAGGGTGGAGACATGTTGTGACTGCAGGAGGAGGACCCATGACCCGGTGCTCCACAGTGTTAACCATTTGGGGGTCATCTTAGCTATAGAGAAAATTAAAACCTTGTGGAAGATTTCCGAGGCCGTTCATCCATTACGTCATTTCGTATTCCCAGTGGCCTGCCTGCTGTGGTAGCTCCTCTGTGAAAATGGGGAGATTCAAAAGAGGACTTGGCTCAGGTTTGGGAAGCTTACGAGAAGATCTGCTGTTAAAAATTTGCCTTAGAGCCAGATGTGGTGGCGCACACCTGTAACCCAGCACTCATGAGGCGAGGTAGGAGGATCGGTGTGAGTTCGTGGTCAGTCTGGGCTATATAGTAAGACCTCGTCTAAAAGAAAAGAGAAAAACATAAAACCTTGTTTTTCGAGCTCTCTGTAATGGCAGATGTCTGCCATTTCTCAAATACTTGGAAGTTTGAAGCCGGAAGATCATGAGTTTGAAGCTAGCCTGGACAACTTAGAGAGACATTGTCACAATAAAGTAAAACGGAAAGAGCTGGAGACATGGCTCAGCAGTAGACTGCATGCCTAGCCTGTGTCCAATCCTAAATTCTCCGCCTGGTACGGGGAACAAAAATTTGGTGTTGGGTGGGTAATGCAGGCTCACTGTGTAAAGTTAAGAGGAGAGAAAGTCATTGCTACAGATATCAAGGCTCCTTCTGCCGCTGAGCCTCTGTCTCCTGCCTGGGAGGCAGCTCTTGCTCCGGACTGGTGGTCCATTCAGTTCCAGCAATGAACAGCAACCCTGAAATCACATCCAGGATGTGCAGGCAGATTTATTTACATCTACAGGCACTGATCGCAGTCACTCAGAATATCAGGTCCTGTTAAAAAAAAAAAAATTAAAAAAAAAAACAAAAAACAAGGGGCTGGAGAGATGGTTCAGTGGTCTAAAGAACCTACTTGGAACAAGCTTGGCAAAGCACAGGGACCGCGGTTCGATCCTCCAGCACCACATGCCAGCCAGCCGCGCCCCCTGGTGGGCTGAGCTGGCCACACACACACACACACACACAATAAATGTTAAAAAAAAAAATTAAAAAAAAAGAATATCAGGTCCTGATCTCTGGTGGTCCACGGCTTATAGGGGATAAGCAAGCAGGAAGTACAGAGGCAGAGTGGCAGGTCAGTGGGGGGTCGCTTTATACAGTGTGCATCGAAGTGACCAGCTGTTTCTAAGAGACAGGAGCACCGGAACTGGAACAGGAACTGTTACCTGGGCAACTAAGAAACTGAAGTGTGTCGGTTGGGAAAGGCATTTGTGTCATCTTCCCTTCCCTTTGTTAGCTTCCCTGGCAAATCTTTGCTGGACATAAGGATCAGGGAAGCAAGGCCTGGGGTAAACGGCCTGAAAAGACACAAAAACCAAGGGGGAGTAGGTGTGGCACAATCCTGTGAACTGTGTGCTCAGGCTTCATCCGTGTGTGGGCTGGTCAGCATCCAGAGTGACCAGAGTGGGACTCTGAGGGCATCGTTTCTTCAGAGTGAGCTGTCTGGGCCAGGTAAACTTTTTCAGCAGATCTAAGACTGGATTTCAGAAATTTGTAAGGGTAGTTAATATGCATCCGGGCTATACTTGTGGGCAGGAGTGCCTACAGGTAGAGCTGACCTTTTAGCACAACTTTAGTGGAGCTAGTTACAAGCTGTTTCTGTAGGGTTATATTTCTTGGGGCCTGTGTGCTGTGTGTCAAGGGTATGCCACATCTAAGGATGAGTTTCCTAGCTGTAAGCTTAGCATTGTGGGTAAGAAATAGGAGGCCTGGGCTGCTGACACAGATGCCGAAGCCTGAGCTGCCGCAGAGGCACTGGTGCCAGCGCTGTGGCTTGGCTCATTGAACATGGGATTGTTGTGTTGGTCCGTCAGTTCCCCAGAGTGTGCTTAGGCCTTTGGACTGGATTGCTGTGAGTACAGCTTGGGCTTCAGTAGCCTTGTCCAAGGTGACCACCACGTCGCTAGCCTGTCCTACTCCTTCCTACTGCTTCCATGTGTAAGCAGGGTGTCCTTAGCGTCTGTCAGAGGTTAGAATTGTTCATCAGTCATGGTCCTGGGTGAGGTCCAGCCCAGCGTGTGGCACCTGGACCGTTAGGGCTCGGCCTAAGGTGAGCCTGTCAGCGTTCTTGATCAGAAGGACAGTGGCTGTCAGAGTGCCAAAGCACAGGGCAGAGGCAGCCCCTGGCGATGGAATCCAAGTATTTGCACAGGTAGCTCCCGGGGCGGACAGACCGAGTAGGCATCAGACAGACTGAGTAGGCATCGGACAGACTGAGTAGGCATCATTGTTTTTGTGAACTCAAGGATCAGGTTGTGTAGAAGCGAGCTGCTCCAAGAACTTTTTGGTTTCTTTCTTGTAACCAGTGTTTGTCAGCTATTGTAGCAGAGCTTTTGTGTCTTTCCAGCAGGTAGCTTGGGTGTTATTCTGAGAAAGTAATGAGGTTGAGCTGAGAGGGCTTCTCCAAAGAGGGCAAACAAGCTTACCTGACCTCCCAGAGGTTCAAAACAGTGGTTGATGGGCTTTTTGTCCCCCTTTTTGATGTCTTTGAGCAGCGCTCAACTGATTTTGGGTTTCTAGGTGGGCTCACCTTTGGGAAAGGCCACGGCAGCTCATTTGTTGGGGCAGACAGCCCAGTTTTTCCTCAATGAAAGTATGAAACTCAGAAGGAGTCGCAGGTGGTCATCTCAGTGGAGTGTTAGATGATGCTGTCCAACCAGGTTAGGCGCCGCTGGGCAGCAGAAGGTGCAGAGGGAGGGGCTCTGTGGTCAGATACAGGCAGTGGCTGCGGCAAGTAGGTGAGTTGGAGGGGTCAGTGAACCTATAGGTCTGCACGGGCCTCAACGGTGACCAAAGGGGTGGGTGCGGCTGGTCTTCCTGGCCGACACACGAGACGCAGCAGAGACTGAAGTGACGGGGGCAGATTTTTTTTTTTTTAATGTTAGCCAGGCACTGACTAGGAATCAATCATTCCTCAAAATGTCAGGTCCTGATCTCTGGTGATCCAGGGCTGCTGTGGGCTAAGAAAGCAGGAAGTACAGAGGCAGAATGGCCTGCCCGTTGGGGATGGGTTTATACGAGGTGCATCACAGTGACCAGCCTGAAGAGAGAGCCAGAACAGGAATTGTTACCCGAGCAACTGAGGAATGGAAATATGCCAGCTGGGGAGGCCTTTTGTGTTCACAGAGAGTGCATTTGTGTGTTTCCCTGTGTCTACAAATGGAGCCCCACCCTACACCCTTCAGCTTGTACCACCAGATGAGTAGCTTCGTCAGACCTCCTATCCTTGTACCTTTCCACCCCACTGTCCCATCCTGTAGGGTTTGCAGCAGGATATTTGTTACCTAAGAGTGTGCACTGTGTCTTGGCTCTGCTAGTGTGGACAGCACCGTGGGTGGCCTCGTGACGGGCTGTGCCGGTCCATCTGAAGTTCTGACTTTGGGTGGGTTCAGCTTCTGCTCCCTGAGCCAGAGAGGAGCAGCCTGTTCCCGCTGCTCTTGCTCAGGGCTCTAACCAAGCCATTTCCCACTGTGGTTCAAGCTTGCGTTTTAGAGCCCTGCGCTGCTTCCTTGGTCTAGAGGAGGGCAGTGCTGCTGGAGAGGAGACTTCTGGGAAGGCCCCAGGGGTAGTGTGGGGGTGGGGCCGACAGTTTTGCTAATGAGGGCCACTCAGGGGCCCAGCTGGCCCAGCAGGGTCCACCGGGTGAACTTCAGGAAGAATCATAAAGTGCACTCTCGGGAGCTACAAGTGTTTGGTCTGCTCTGCCCTGGACACCCCAGCAGGCTGTTCTTTGGTGGTGCTGGGGTCCAGCTCAAGGCTCTGGTGTGCCAGGCAAGGACTCTACAGCCGAGCCACACCCTCAGCTCCCACCTCAGCTCTGAGAAGCAAGCTGCGCACTGGATTTTGCCCACAGAAGCTATGTATTGGGGGGAAGCAAACTCCCCAGGCTGTAGGTCTACAGCACGCAGTTGACCCGCTGCCCACACCAGCCTCCGGCCACAAACGTGCCCCTGCCTCTCGGAGCCTTGTGGAAAGGCTTCACTTCCTGAGTGTGGTGGCTTCAAGACTCATCCAGGCCTGAAGGGCTCCCAGGGTCACCTGCTGTCTTCCCCCAGCTGTGTGCAGAGCGTCCGCCCTCACCAGCGCCCACAGACGCTGTGACACCCAGCTCCTCCTCCCATGCCGAACTTGCTTCCTGGCTTCTGGCCTGGATGCTGCTC